ATGCTTAATTTCTCATTTTAATAGCTGACAAATATTTTTACCATGAAGACACGCACACAAATTTTTGTGAAAAAGTGACGCTTAATAAAATTTCATACACTAAAATAATTTCACTATACATACATACATACATCTTTCATTTTTAATATTTTTTCCAACTGTTTCCACAGTCAACGGCATTAACTTCGCGATAGTTGCGCACGACGCAGTTTTATGCTTTTACTGTTAAAAAAAATTTTTTTATTGCAGACACAAGAAAAATTGAAATTAAAGTGAAGAGTTTTCAAATAAAATGCATATTTTAAATTGAATTTTTTTCTTAGCAACTCCACGACAAGAGCGACACCCCAACAAAGCACAGCGCCACGCACATAAAAATATTACGACAGAAGTTGCAGCGGCGCTAGTGTTAATGCGCAGCTATGGAAAATAGAAAGTTGAATGTCAAACTAAAGCTGTGGTGAAGGCACTCAACAACAACACCAGCAACAAYAACATTATAATGCGAAGGTGTAGGTCGACGACGCGCCATTTGATGGGATGTTGCAATTGTTGTCAAGACGAGGTATGCAAGCGCTGCTAGTAAGAGCTCGCTGTCCACACTGTGGTGCGCCATAGCGCCGCGCTGCGCGGGTGTGAGCCGCAGCCAAATGAGATAAGTAATAAAAAGCGCACAACTATCCAATAATTTTCTCCAGCGCTCATGCTTTGCCGCTATRATTGCAGGCGGTCTGGCAACTTTTTCGTTTTAATTGTATGCGCGCGCGCGCGTACACAACAACACTCATTGGGATGCATTCGCAATTGTCGAGATACATCATCAATACAAGTTGYTTGCGATGCTATATCGCGGATGTGCAATTGCAGGTGTCTGATTTTTATTGCTTTTTTATGTAGCGGGATTTTTCACTCGTTTTTCAACAACTTGTATGTACATTTGTATGCAAATGTAAAGTGCTTGGCTTGTTTGTCTTTCTCACATTAGCTTGTGGCTTATGAGCGTTTTTTTTTTTGCGATTTCTTGTGGTGGAAAGGCACTTTCGCAACAAAGCGTTGATTTTACGTTTACTTTTTCATTTAATCCAATGCATGTACCTTTAAGTAATTTCCTTAATATAGTTGAGATTCTTTACATTCAATATGAGTAAACTATTTTTATAACAAGAAGTAGCTATATTTTCATAAATACACGGTATATTTATAATAAAAAATTAAACAAAAAAAAAAAAAAAAAAAAAAAAAAAGTGGCATTTGTAGTTGCAAATACTTTTGTGTCTAAAAGATACTTTTAAAATTTTATGCTAATTTAGCGTTTCTTATAAGCTAGGTTTAGAGCAATAAGTAGCGAAGTAAATAAAAATTTTTAGTYGCAGATACTTTTGTATCTCAAAGATACTCTTCAATTTAGATGCTAAACGGATGCTATTCGAAAGTTTACCTGCGTTACAGTAAAAATTATTGCAAAAATATGTAGTTCACAGCCGCAGATACTTTTRTATCTCAAAGATACTTTTTAAATTGTACGCTATTTTAGCGTTATTTATAAGCGCATTAGTTTTACAGCCATAAATAGTGAAATATATACAAAATTTTAGTCAGAGATACTTTTGTATCCCAAAGATACTTATTAATTTCCGGCATAAATTAACATATAATTCGTTCAGAAATTAATATTGATTGTATTATGTAAGTTATGTAAGTTTTGTATGTAAGTTAGTTATTGCATTTACAGTTATTCAGACTGATATGATGAAATTAAATTTGCCTTGATTAGCGCTCATATTTATTTTCATAACTCCATTAAACAAGCTTTCGAGCTTATTCATACACAYACMTACATATGTATTATTCGCAACACATTCACATACAGTTAGGTACTCTCACAGAACCTTTTCGTATCAGAGGAATTTATTACTTAGCGCAGAGAGCAACTTCCTCTACAAACCTAAACAAAATAAAATAAATGACGTGCAAAAGCCAGAAGGTAGCTAGTAGCAGAAAACCCTATACAACAACAATCGATAGCAATGCCGATCATTGTTGTGGCAAAAAGGAAACACAGAAAATGAAATAATCTCATGGTCAAAATACAAAGCGATTCCCAAGCCTTTGAGTCAGACGAAACAAGCACTTAGTCAGCAAGCCGGCCGGCCGGTCGATCAGTCGGTCGTTCGACGAGGCATTTAGTTAAAAGAGCAACCAACTCCGGCAACACACACATACATATAAGTGTGTATGAGCATACAAAGTATTGTACAATTTTAATTTTTATTTGTGTCTGCCCATGTTGCAAGCAAGAGCGGCGGTAGAGTAGCAACAGAAATATGTGGCAAACGTGTTTTTGCCCGCAGTCGGGCAGTAAAAGGGCAAGCAAAGGTGGCGGCAAGCATGAAGGGGCAGCAATCAAGATGGAAGTAACCATTATTCTATGTCTGTGTGTGTGTATATGGTAGAAGTTGTCCAGCAAACTGAAAAAAAAACAAACAGGCGAAAAGATGCTGCCAGAAAGAAATGCGGACATATAGACATTTTGCTCACTATACCGCCGCGCAGAAGGGCTGCTGTGCCGTAAATCGTGAATTACTTACGCGCATTGCGATTGACTTTGAAAATTCCAAGCACACATACAAGTATGCGCAGGTGGGTGAGGAAGAGGCGCTGCAGCGAAGAGGGCGAGCGCAGCAGACAACCCGCAATTCATTCAAAAGGACGCTGCGCGACTGAACTAATCGAGGAATCAAGCTGAAAAAAGAATTGAAAATAAAATAAAATCGAGCAACAACAACAACAATAATGGCAACAAGGAATTTCTTGATCGCGGAATCTGGCTACAGCTTTTGCAACGGCGCACATAAGCCGCCGCGTTGTTGTTGCACGAATTCCCGCAGACTCCTCACGGCGTGCATTTGATGCTTTGGCCGATTTTAGTTGCTACAAATAAGAACAAAAGCACAATCGCATTGATGCAATTCGATGCTAACTAAGCGGCAGATAGACAGACGTCTACCCTTCGATTAGCTGCCACTGCCACTCGCTGATTTTTTATTCATACCAAAGCTGGGTATCGCGCGGTGAAGCCTCCTAGCTTCGGGTGCGAAGCAGTAAAATTGCTAGAAAATCACAAAAACGTGCGCGTATTTTCGCTTTTTGCTTTGCGCAGCCTCTGCGTGTGCTGTGTGAGGGGAAGCGCTGGTCAGGCCACCATATGTTGCTTGCTAGAACCAACTCTTGCTTTTGTCGAGCGCGATTACACTCCAGCCCGTCTGATTTTCCGCTGAAGTGTGCATTCGCCTTTTAATTTTCCTCGCCATCATGCCAGCGACTCACACAGCAGCGCCTGGCCTTACCTTGCTTTGGCCGCGTACGCTCGGGGCGTACGCTTAAAGGCAATAATGCATAATATTGTGGAGCAATTGGCATTCGCTAAGACTTATGCGGCTGCAAACTGCAACAGTTGGGCAGTTACATAAATAGTAATAGCGTTGCATGGCAGAGCAATGCCGGCATCGCGCTCTATTAGGCGGCGACGGTGCAGCAGTTGGCAGTTACGTGTCGTGCAAGGACTGGTGGCAAATACAATTTTCTACATCTGAAAGTGAATTTATGTTTGGCTAAGTATGTGCGCACGGCTGTAGCATGGCATTCATGCCACAGGGCATGCACAAGCGGCAGCGCAGGCGTGAGTGAGTAAGCGCAGCGGCGGCAGGGAATCCCAGTTGGTGTTGCCATATTTGCGAATGGGCGCATGCGCGTATGTATGTGTGGCGCGCACAAGTTCACACGCCCGCAAGGATTTGTGCGCACACAGGCAAATACAAGTAGATGTTGCACATGCATGATGGCTAATGTGGCAAATGCAATAACTTAGACTATTACGAAATTGATTCAGTACAATTTTTCCCAACGTAAGCACTTTCACTGTGTGTATGCGATCAAAGCGCACATACATGTGTACTTTGTTGTAGATTTTTGTAGTATTTATAGCTTAAAATGGTAATGGGTTGTCAGCTGCTGTGCGACGATAGCGATCTCTTAGATAAACTAGTTGGTGAGATGGTGGGAAAATATGGTTCTGATAACAAATTGCTAATCGCATTTCAAGCACTGCGAAAGAAAGTATTTTAAAGGCTTTTCGACCAAGAAAGTTGTGCAGGGAAATATTTTGGAAGTTTCTCAAGCGAAAAGTGTTGCTATGRAAACCGCTGGCCTATTGGCTAAAATGTAAGACTAAAAATGCAATTATTGAAAGCTTTATGATTTAAAGTTTTTAGCAATCCTTCAATGAAAGCTTCGCTATTTTGTAAGAAGTTACTTTTAAAAACATTAAAATAACAAGCTTTTTACTGAAAAAATTGCACAAAACAGTAAGGTGCTTTCACAAAACAGTAAGGAGCTTTCACCAAACGGTAACAAGCTTTCTCAAAACTGTAAAGAGCTTTCACAAAACTGTGAGAAGCTTTCACAAAACTGTAAAGAGCTTTCATCAAATATTACAAAACTAACAGCTGTGAAAATCTAATATTAAAGATTTTCTAAATCACGAAACCAGCCAAAGTAGCTTTTTAGCGRAACAGCTTTAGAGTAACTGTGAAAGCTTGCAATAAAAACTTAGGCGAAAGTGCTTAATAAATTTTAAAATGTCTGAWTTGCGCAAAAAGAACTCACTTCACTTATTTAAAAAATTAAAAAGCTTGCACATACATATGTTTTGATTTATTTTTCCATAATTTTACGACGTGCTAAGGTATGYGCGAAATTTTCGCAATAAACGGCTGTTGAAATGTAGAACGGACCATTCWCTCATTTTAAGTACAATGAACAATTTCTGGGTGAAGTGGTACAAGCGTTAATAAATGACGTGTAAAATAACAACGCGCATGCGCACAAGCAACAGCGCAAATTCACTGCAAGTGATGGGCTACGAAAATGAAATTTGAAATAAAAATTATTTTAGCACGTGAAGCTAGCTCAGCAGAGCGTTATTTATTTTTTAAATTAAATTTTTTCGTTTATTTATTTTTTTTAGCTAAAGTCAAACACCTTAAGTAGTTTTTCGAGTAGTCATTAACATATCAAACAATTTGAGGTTGCTGCAGGAATATATGTAAGTACGAGAAAAGCAAATGAGTTTGTGAAAAAAATGTACAAAAATCACCGATCAAGCGCGTTGATCGATCGCGCTTTGCTTGCTCAAAGTTTATGTCATTTTCGTAAGAAAACCACTTTGAAAAATATGTGTGGCGAAACGAATTTTTTCAAAGCGTTTGCTATAGTTGTTGTTTTGTTTTTGTTGTCGTTATTGAAAATCACTTGCTTGTCAAATCAAATGGGATGATTTAACAAAAAAAAAAAAAAAAAAAAAAAAAAAAAAAAAAAAAAAAAAAAAAAAAAAAAAAAAAAAAAAAAAAAAAAAAAAAAAAAAAAAAAAATGGTGTAAAAGGTGAACGGCGTAATTTTGTATGGTAAAAAATATTGAACACACAAGAGAGTAAATATCGATTTGAATTACGGTCTGCGCTTTTGTAGCTACGAACAGTGGACCTAAGCAAACATTCAAATKGAAGTGTAATTATTGTCTCAGCCACGATCAGCCCACGATCGCGTTGAAGCGCTTGCAACGAAATGCGRCGATGACTAGAAGCGCGCGGTCAGTGTGTGTAGTACCTGTTGTTGACATTGATTTCTATAATTTTTGCTGTTGTAATACAACAAACAATCGCTTGCGCTACAAGGAAGTGACGGCAAAGTACACGATCAACGCTTGATCATAGTTTTTAGAGGGGAACAAGGGATGTACATACGTTTGTATGTGTATTATATGTAAATTACAAAATCAATGAGTGTAGAAAATTTCATTTGTCATCGTTCCCATTACAGCTTATAATTTTGTGCTATTGTTTTTTCCATGGCGGTGATCGCGCGTCGAAAAGATCAGTTTGGACGAGGTATTAGACGAAGATATGGGGCGGAAACGAGCTAAGAAAGCGAGTGAATGGAGTTCTAGGAGGAAGCGTAGGGCTTACTGATACAATTAATCAATGCGTTGCAGATATGTATGTCGGTTGAGGTGTTGAAGAACAACAAAGGAAAGTGCAATGAAATGCTGCTGTTAATTTTCYAAAGAAAACCGTGCTTAGATACTTCCATTAACAGTTGTTAGCTGAGAAAATTACAGTTTGGGAAAAATATAATTGCCAGGAACGTGTGAAAAGGCTTTAAAAATTATAAGAAGTAATAAAATGAGGTAAACTACAAAACACAACGCGATCCTCTGATCCTCTACATGAAAATTAACTGAGAATTAAAGTTTCAAGAATCAAATTATGCAAAAAATATATATTTTCTTTTCAAATAAATCAAAATATGTTTAGAAATTGGCTCGAATATGTCAACGCGTGAGCTAAAACCTCGCCTGGCAAACGAAGAACCCTTTGCTAACGCACAGCAATGCTTTGTAGCTTCAGCTAAGCCGGCAAGACAACAACGTTCAAGCCTTTTTGTACGGATTTCGGTCGTCGTAAAACATTTTTGTCTTCACCACAACTTTTTCGGGGAGAGGCTGTCGGATTGTTAGSTTCTTGCCACAAAAACAAAAAGGCAGCACGGAGAATGCTGAATGTTAGCGATCAAGACAAGATACATAACACGCTATGCTTTGCGGCAGAACTCAACAGTGAATGAGCGCTGCTGCTGGAGCGGGGGAGCACGCACAGGAAGACAGCACGGCATATTGTAGGCAGGCAAAGCGAGAGCCTAAGAAAAATCTTCCCACGCTACAGTTTGGGCACTCAGCCAAATTGTAGGCAGGCAAAGCGAGAGCCTAAGAAAAATCTTCCCACGCTACAGTTTGGGCACTCAGCCAATGTGAGGGTGAGGGAGGAGCATGCAGCGCATGAAGGAAATGAGTATTCGACCTCATTGTTGTTGCTCTGGCTGTTGTGTCGGTGCATATGGAGCATTAAGTAGCGGCTACCAGAGCCTGGCAGCAGCAAGGCAAACAGGCACTTCAGTTATTTCGGCGTCCCTTTTCGGCTGCTACTTCGGCGGCAGCAGCGGCAGCTTCTTGCCTGATCTTGCTTGTGCAATACAAACAGTGTGCGGTTGTTGTTGTTGTTGCAGCCAGAACCTGTCGTTTAACAAAAAATATTACAACAACTGCTTTGCGTGTGCTCCACGAAGGGATGTGCGCTGTGCTGTGGCAGGCCAACACGCAAGTAAGTGGAGCCACTAGCGGCGGTGAGTAAGGCTCCATACGCTAGTGTGTGTGTGTGCGCGTGTTGGCAATTTTTTTTTTTTTGCTACTTACTGTTTATCGTACGTGTGCGGCTCAGAATTTAAAGACCCTTCAGCTGCGCCACTCACTGCTGCTGCCACTTGTGTGTGCCGCTCTGTGCTCTTCTACCACTTCCACTCCGTTTTGTGTGGAATTTTTTCGTTGGTTGCCCGCTCTACGCCAGCGGATGTTGATTACACCTTGAATTTTGTGGTAAACATGCCATTTTTTCGGTGCCTACAATTGTTGCGCGCTTCCTTTTTTCGGTGAACGCTGCCAGTTTGCTGTCCTTCGGCCAGAGATATTTATTTCCAGCAAACGTGTAAACGAAAAGAGTCGCAAGTAGTTGTGAAAACAAACAACAAAAGCAAATCGGAAGCGTTGCAATTGCCAAAAAAATACAGCTGCCACATRGTTGCACCGGTTTTCAGCCGCCTATACTTCATTATGCCGCAGCCGCTGTAGYCGACTTAATCGAGTAAATGGCCTTAAATTGTGGTGCTTGCGTAGTGTGCGAGTTCTTTCTGGGTATAATTTGCCAAAAGAAAGTAATGAGCCAATAAAATACACAAAAAATGTTGCAGGATCAGCAGATATGCGTCGCTTAATGCATTTATGAATGATGTGCTTCGTTGTAGCGGTCAAAAGTGCGTAGCGCTGCCAATGTAGCAAGGTTGCACAGGTCGAAGTAAGCGGCGGTTAGCGCGAGAGGGGCACTAAGTAGTGGTGGTAGCCACTGCAGCAGTSTTTTGGGTAAGTAAGTGGGCAGACAAGTGTTTTAATCAAGAAAGGAAGTGAGCGATTTGTCGAATAAATGAATGAGTGAATGAAAAAAGCGTGTTTAGTTAATGCCTTGAAGGGTGGCCATTGTGCTGAGAACATTATTAATACAATTGAAGTATTTTTTTAATACTTATTGATATTTAATATTAATTTATTTTTTGTTTTGCAGAAAATTTGGAATTTTTTT